GTCATGGCAGTCAGTTTGGAGTCATGGCAGTCAGTTTGGAGTCATGGCAGTCAGTTTGGTGTCATGGCAGTCAGTTTGGTGTCATGGCAGTCAGTTTGGTGTCATGGCAGACAGTTTCCTGTCATGGCAGTCAGTTTCCTGTCATGGCAGTCAGTTTGGTGTCATGGCAGTCAGTTTGGTGTCATTGCAGCCAGTTTGCTGTTATGGCAGTCAGTTTGCTGTCATGGCAGTCAGTTTGCTGTTATGGAAGTCAGTTTGCTGTCATGGCAGTCAGTTTGGTGCCATGGCAGTCAGTTTGGTGTCATGGTAGTCAGTTTGGTGTCATGACAGTCAGTTTGGTGTCATGGTAGTCAGTTTGGTGTCATGGCAGTCAGTTTGGTGTCATGGCAGTCAGTTTGCTGTCATGGCAGTCAGTTTGCTGTCATGGCAGTCAGTTTGCTGTCATGGCAGTCAGTTTGCTGTCATGGCAGTCAGTTTGCTGTCATGGCAGTCAGTTTGTGACCCTGGTATTTAGTTTGCGCCGTGGCAGTCAGTTTGCAACCATATTTCGAATTCCCATTTCCTCATAAGGTGGAATGAAAATACAATGTAAAATACTGCAAAATTACGGCAGGCTGTAACTTATTTCCACCATTCTGTAAGCAAATGTGTTTAATGTATGTACCAAGTTTGAACACAGATGATGTATATGTAAGATGTACGTGTGATGTTTGAATGTGATCGATTGTATCTCAAAGATACAAAAAATGATTCATGCACAGACACACAGACTAAAAATGATGAATAATTTGTTCTCAAAGATGCATAATCTACTGACCTATACTTACCTATTCTGTCTAGCTGTATAATATCCCATTTTGCCTTGGCTAGCGTAAATTTACGATTCAGTTCTAAATCTATTGTGTGATAAGCACCCATCTAGTTAACACAAAAATAAGAAAAATAAATGTCATCAATATGAAATATTTAATTAATTTTAAGTAGTCACATGTGAACCAGTAAATTGTTTAACCCAAGCAAACTGTTTTTCGGTTGCTAAAATCATGGATAGGTTCATATTGAACCACGACACACATGATCATGCTTCAATTTCACCGGCGACAAAGTTCACTGAGACATGTCAGGGATTTCCACAAAATTTTGTTTTCATGAAAGCCATAAAAACATCAAATGACAAAAATTCATTGATTTACAGTATTTGTCAAGAGGTCTATATATATATTTGTATTAAATCTGAAATAATTCATACAAAGCGAATGGGAAAATGGGAATGCCAAACAGTGATTCGTATAACTTAAACTATATAGATCACACTTGTGGGTTCTTTTCACGGGCCATAAAGGCATTGGAAATCATTAAGAAGGTTATCGTTACAAGACGACAATGATCTCAGGCCAATAACAATTAGACATCTAAGAACCATAGAGATTTTTTAAATAAGGGAACGAACACATTCATCATACACGCATAGCACTAAATGACACCAAATTTGAATTAACTGCATTGTGCGTATGCACACTTTAATACAAAGAACAAAAGTTTGACAATAAATACACAAATAGCTTCACAAAATCGGCTAATTAAATATTACTGCATTGCCTAAATATTTTAGACGGATCCGATAAACGTAACCGCGGTCGAAATATGCAGGTAAGGCAGGGGGAAAATTAAACCTGGCTGTTTGTGCGTGTAAAGCAGATGTACTTTACCGGACGTAACGACGTCAAACTGAAGCAACAAACGTGGCGACAAACTTCAAACGGCTTGTTTCCATAGGTGGCTCATATCACGAGGACGCTGTACAGTACTATAGCTGACACCAGGTCGACCAGAGAGTGAATTCTCAATCCGGAGTTCAATGGTGACGTTATCTGTGTTATACCGTACTTCTGGTGGATCGTCCAACATGCCCACCAAGGCACGCTTTCTTGTTCAATTTATTGGGGAACATAAAATTATGTATATCAAGATGACACCCCTTTGTTTACACTGCTCATTTCTAATTGGTCGAAACCAGAAGAATTGCAAACTGACAGAAATGCAAAACCGAGTTTGTTGACCTGTCTAACCAAATTCACCAAAGTTTATTAACCTCAAATTCATTCTGATTCTCGGGAATCAAGTCTTCGGTACCATAGTATTTGGAGACAAATCTCACCCAAGGTAAATTCTTTGTCGTCCAATCAGGCTGCTCTCCTTGCGAAGAATGTAACAATTCGTGCATGCAATATATGTATTAAGTATTTCTTTATTTCTCCACCTATAACAAGTCACAAAGTATTCCCCTTTCTATGTAAATCACGTAATAGCTTACATGTACCGTACTCGACCGCGTTAGCGCCCAGGGGCCTCAACTCAGAAAATCACGATTTTGTAGGGGTGGGCGCTTACCCGAGCACCCCCCTCGAAAAAGAGTGCAAATGAAAATTTTGATTCATCAAGTGACAGATTACGTCTAAAAATTAGTTGTGTCGTTATTGATTTTCACACTGAAGAAACAGAAATGATCACAAAAAATACGCACATGTTATTACAATATTAATTACGTACCACCATAATTTACAGAATTAAAAACATTTGAGTCTGTTGGAACACAGTCGAAGTCAAAATTGTCATATTATTTCCACTGACGAAGTTGTTGGATCGTATGCAAACTCTCGATGAAAATCACTTTCCGCCATGATGCAATTGCAGATTTGACCTACAGCAGCGTCCTTTGACTAATGGGTCAAGTTGGTTATTAACTAATCAGAATGCTGTCTTGTACCCACGCAATTCTTCGGAAATTCCCTGAAGACTTTCCGGTAACGCAATGCGGAAGTGAATAATCGATGTCGAAGTACGATCTGTTGGGATTGATTTCAGTGAATAAACGACATGGTTTTTCCGAAAAAACTAGTAACTAGCCATTTTTGAGAGGTAAACTGAATATGGCATGAAATATTTATCGCATTTTACTAGTATTAACAAGTCATTGTCGAAGCGAAGTTTACGCACGATTACAGTGTTCTACGCATTCACATGTTCACAGTGATCGATATCCACGCTGTATCATATAAAAACGATTACCAAGATTCGTTACGCAAGACCAAGTTTTAAATTAGTTGCATTTTGAAGGGGTGGGCGCTTTGTCGAAAGTGACCCCAAATATAAAAATTGCACAAAAGTGGGGGGTGGGCGCTTGCCCGGGCATGGGCGCTAACGCGGTCCAGTACGGTATAAGCCTAACAGGGAGGGCGTAATACTTGGAAATAAATTAAACTTTGGATTCCTGACAGTATTATTCAAAGCACTAAGCTTGAATACTCACCTTCACATATTGGTTCTCCTGAATATTTCGTCCTTTAACTCTTAGAACACATGCTTGTGTATCAAAGTAAATATCTTCAACACATATCGTCAGCATGGTACGCACTCTACTGCTACTACTACTTCCTGTTGCTGACTCGGTTTGAACTTTACGTACGGTTGTCGATCGTAAGCTATCACCAGTTGCAACTAGATTATAAGCATGCCACATGTCTTCAGATTCCTCCGGAATTAGCGTCACTTGTCTGAAAATATATATGAAACCATGAATAGGAATTAGCGTCTCTTGTCTGAAAATATATATGAAACCATACATAGCAATTAGTGTCTCTTGTCTGAAAATATATATGAAACCATACATAGAATTAGTGTCACTTGTCTGAAAATATATATGAAACCATACATAGAAATTAGCGTCTCTTAGGTGGCGGGTTTTTCTGAGCAAACAGAAAAAAAAGGAGAATGATGAAAGACTTTTCCCCAGTGCGGGATGAAAAACAAACCCAAAAACCTAAGTTAACACCCAAGAAAGGTGGTGTCTTACCTTGCCTGTGCTGTCCCCGAAGCAAGAAGCCAATGCTGCTGTGGTGACAGGGTTCGGTGTGCCCGAGAAAGCTAACCCAAGCGGAATTCGGGGGTGATAAGCTTGAAGTAGGACCGAAACAGTTCGCATGAGGGCGTAGGTCTGCAGAAGCGAAATCTGGGAGCTTCCAGGAAGGGCTAGTGGAACAGACAATCTGCCCGCAAAGATGCCGAGACTGACTTATCGCCTATGTGCAGAGGCCCCTGCGGTCGTTCGGGCTGGGTCAGCAAACAAGGCCTGACCCCCTACGATGGGGCCTAACCTGAAGAGACCCTGCCCAATAGATTGGGTGTGTCTTAGGTAGCAGTTGATGAAGACGTTCCGCGTTCTCCAGAAGCCTGCCTTCAGAATGTGTTTGAGGGGGCACCTGATGCTAGCGCTAGTGAGTTAGCAATCGCACGGACCTCATGTTCTCGTACTTGGTGTCTCTGCAAGGTCTGTGTTGAGGAGGATAGCGTATTATAGACCTCCAGTACAGTCGCAGTAATCTAGAAAACCTGGTACGGTTCTCGTGGCAACTCAGCGCTCGGGCCGA